CACGGTGAATTTTAAGTCGAACTTTTTTGCATACAATTTTTTTTTCTAAAAAGCAAACATGATGGACATTTGCCATGGCACTGAAGAATGAATGAACAGATCTGGAGACGTGCAATGATGATCGGTAGGTGATTTTTTTTCCCCTAAATAAATATCAAACTTACAATAAAAAAAATTAAAAATACATTTCCAGATTATCTTTCTATATTTTAAAATTGTACCGAAGTATGATGATTTTTTTCTCTGTTTTTCTCTTTTTCTTTTTCTTTTCCTTTTTTTCTTTTTTTTTTTTTTTTAATTCATGAAAGTAATTTAAAATTCGTTGAAATTGAATTCTGTTTTAAAGGAATGATATTTTTTTTTTTACTTTTTAAACATATAAATGAAAAAAAAAACTTAAAAAAAAAAAGAATAAAATACGCCCGAAAATTTATCAGTGGTCAAGCAAGCCAGTACAAAAGTCAATGTTCGGTATAGGATGAGGCCAGGAGGGGGGATTATGGGGTAATGGTCAGAATTTGCCTCTGGGATACTTATTATTGGACACAGCTGGGTGCTGATCTGATTATCTGCTCCAAGAAAAAACATATTCAACAAGGTGTTAGGAGATCAGGTGGTTGGCATTGTAATCCAATCAAACCAACTGGTCTTACACCCAACACCAGCTACATAATTTGTCATCTACCCCCAGTCAATAGTGTATCCATTCCCCCTTTTTTCAATCAGTTTTGTACGAATACTCTACATCTTATTTGTACAATTATTATGATTCTATTCCCACATTCCTATACTACAATAAAGAGAGTCAAAGAGTACGTTTGAATTTCTTGACATAAACTGGAACTTTTTTTAATCATAAAATAGAAATCTTGAAAAATAAAATAAATCAATTATGCTAATATGATGAAGGCAAAAAAAAAAAACAACCTGTAAGGTCTTATTAACTATAATATATGTTTTATCTTATAGATTAACAATTAAGCATCGAAGTTTACAAATCAATTACTACCTAGGTAGATTTATAATGGTTACCTTTTTAATGTTTATAATAAAAAGTAATATTAAATACAGTTGCAAATTAAAGAATTTTCATTTGTTTTCTTTTCAATTAAAAAGATAAATTTCTTGAAATTTGAACGGATGCATTTTCAAAAGACATCTAAATATTTTCTGTGTATTGCATTTTAAGGAGATAGGTGTTACACTGCACCTTTTAAAGGACTATATTCTGTAATGGTCAATATCTGTCCCAAAAATAAAATTTTGATGGAGAAATCTTTAATTATATTTCTAAAAAAGAAAGAAATTTACAGACTTCAAAGTATAAAATATTTTCATCAACCATGAGTCAAAAGTTAGACATGACATCAAGAAAATGATGAAAATTAAAAATGTTAATGGTTTTGAAAGAAATATTGTCATTTTTGCATTGATATTTTCATCAATGTAAAATAGAAGACATAGAGCCCTGGACTGCTCAGAGTTTATCTTAATTGATAATATATAATGTGTTGGATGATAAATACCAGTATAAATATCAATAAATACAATGTATGTATGTATGATATAGTTTGCCACTCTGTAAATATTATAGTCAAAATTTAACAATTTAAACAAAATTTGACATCACAAAAACAATAAATGCCAACTGTTTGTTTCCAATCCATAACGTATTTTGATAAATAAGATTTTTTGAACAATACATACAATTGTGCAAATTTAAAGAGATTTTCAAAATTTGACAAGGGGGGGGGGGTATTCTTTTATCATATATCAAAAGTTCTTTAAAACAACATTCTAAGTGACAATTTTAGGGGGGGGGGATAAAAGGAACTAAAAAAAAATAAGTTTAAATATCTATGGAAGTGATAATAACCTCCCATGGTGAGCCCCCTCATTTACTATATTGGAAACCCCTGATAGCAATACAAAAATGTTGATCTCCACCAAGAGGAAAAATATAATCAACAGAAAACCATGTTACATAACTGCCAGATAAAAGTGACCAGGCTGGGTTAAAAGAACTGGCCAGCTAATGGCCACCAGTGCCGTCTTATGCAATTTTTGACATATTGGAAAGATGTATGCCAGTTACCCAAGTATTTTCTTATCCAACAAGCACTCGTGGGATCTGGGAACTGCCTTCTTTTTCTGAGTGAAAGCACCTGTTTTTTGGTACTCCATCAACTTGTACTACTTTGTTATGAAAATCAAACAGGATATAAATAATTGAAATATATTATACTAAAAGGAATTTTCTCACAAGACTGTTTAAAAGATATCTTTATTAAAAAATTCAGAGATATTGAGAAGAGAATAAGAGAAATTAAACCAACAACAGAATACTTTATAAAGAAAAAAAACTTTTACCAGTGTTGATATCATATACTTGTCAAAATATGTTGGATTGATAGGGAATATTTTAAAAAAAAAATTGCATTTAATTTTTTTTTCAAATTACTTATCATTTTTATACACCCCCTTTTTCTTTCTTATGTTTAGTTTTTTGTTTTGCTTTTTTTTTTGCATTTTTTTTTAATCTATTTTGCTATGTGTTGTTTTGTTTCATTTTTTTTTTTTGTTAGTTGTTTGTAATTTATTTTTTTTAAATTCATTTTTTTTAAAAGTTCTTTTAAACTAGTGTCAATAACAAACTCTGGAAAACTTTATGTGTTGTATACGTAGGTATTATAAAATGTTCACTGGTGAAAGTGGTCAGTATGGTAAATCCCCCATCTGTGCAGTGTTACACAACATCTCATTCATTTCTCCTCCTAATTACTCCCATCATTGATTGCCCCGGCCCAACACTCTACTGTAATGGGCAAATTTATCTTTATATTTCATTTTCAATGCAATATTGACCTTAACATTTGGATGAAAATATCTTGCATAATTAATAGAGTACATGGAACAGTTCTTGAAATGAAATGGTCAGTGGAATAAAATGGCTATTTTATTATTAATGACCAGCTTTCAAGTGACCTTTCACTAGCCCACATGGAAAAATAGAAAATTACTTCTAATATAAAATAATGACACTGATTGAATCAAATGAATGGCTATTTTGCAATTTTCTTGCTTCGTTGCTTTGTATAGATCCAAGGTCATATTTGATGAAGAATGTTAAATTACAGGATAAAATGTATAAAGTAATTTGTAAAATTACTTTATAATCAAACGAGAGTAAGAGACAATTTGAAATACCAGTATATCTCTTTTACGTTGCCTTGAAAAAGGTCCAAATTTTAGCATATGCTAATAACTTAAATATATACATTCATATTTTACAAAAGTATATTGGGGGGGGGGGGGGGGAGGACCCTTTAAATTTTTTTTTAAATGTTAAAAAAAAATCAATAAAAAATAAAGGAATGTCAAATATTTTGCCACTTTTTAAATGTGTTAGTGTGGGAACTATCAGGAGTACACAAGAGTATAGAGGAAGTGAGAATGGGATAAATGGATGTATAATTGGATTCATTGAAAACATTAGTGTACATATTGTCAGAACTGTGGCAGGCTGACCATCAATAAAATGATGCCAGTATGACAGGGCTAAAGTTGTGATCCAGTGGTCAGTTTTAATCAACTTCTCCTGTCCTCTGGGGACCCGGCAGAAATATTGCTTTTCTCACTGTTTTCTTATTTAGGGGGAGATCTGCTATTTTAATCATTCAATTTGATATCAAGGCCAGAAAGCAGTGATGATTGGGGAATTTTGTTCTTGGTCTTCTCTCTGGAGTGTAATGACACTCACCCCAAGGGAAAGAGTTGTGAAATGATTCAAAATATTCTTTTACAAAAAGACAGATTCTCTAGATCAGCACAATTAAAGCAAAAATCATAAAATTTTCATATCTTCAGTTCAATATATATATAAATAGAAATCAACATTTCCAGCAAATTTAATTTACATGGAAAAAAAGTCTTGATTGCTGCTTAATTTCCTGAATTAAGCTTCATCATAAAAAAAGACAGCCATTTGCCTTTTAAAGTTCATTAAGTGTATTGAAAAGTTCTTTTTAAATAAGTGAGTGTGAAAAGCCTAAGAGCACAAGACTAAGCCAGTTAATGTGTTGCTTATTGTGACACAATGCGTCTGGCCATTGTTCCAGTCTTTTTGTCCACTTCTGCCCATTTGCTGTTTCCTTTTTCAATAAAGATTTGATTTTTATCACTCAGTGGCCTGTGAGTTTTTGTTTGTGGTCCCTGAGGGTGGTATTTGTGTTACATCATTCCCCTGATGTTCGTTTAATGATACAAAAACATGTGTGGCAGAGGGACACTGTCAACCTTCATTAGGCCCAAATGGGATTTTTAAGCATAGATAATGGAAATAAAATACTAGCTGAAACACAAAGGAGACCTAGACCATTAAAGTGTGAGGCCCTGATCAGATGCCTCATCAATATAATCGACAAAATCAATGTCCGGAAATGATTCTTCCCCCAAGGCCTATTTATAACAACCACCTAAACATTTCTCTGGTCAATGTGTCTCTTTTAAACAATTTTTTTTCCTGAGAAAAAAAAGATACTTCAGACTTATTTCCCTGTTTAAAGTACTTTGGCACACAGGTCAATTTCTTTTTTCAAATTATTTATAGAAAGTGGCCATTGAAATGTTATGCGAGTGAATTTTTGGAATCAAGCGATATTTATTTGTGTACGAGTAGAATATGAAAGGACACTTGAAATTTTTACTTTTGATATAAACAATTAATTTAATCAAGAGTTTATATTATTGTAAAAAGGCATTTTAAAGCAAAAAAAGAAATATAAAACAAAATCAAAACAAAGTATATTTAAAAAGAAATATACAGCAGAATTGAAGGTAAATTTAGCTGGGCTGTGCAAACAAACTTCTGTGGAATTATTTTCCCTCTTTACAAAGTGAAACTACTGATTTCAAAAAAAACCCTTTGGAGAACCTCAAATCTTAAAAGCTACATCTTCTAATTGTAGCACATCATTTTTATTTTCAGAGGATGCATTGACCTCCATGGGTCGTGCTGACCCAGGACAAGATAATCAGGTGCAAGACAGAGCTTTTTTTGAGGGCAAGAGTCACCCAGCACAAAGAGAAGATGACCACCATCAAAAACATTTAAATGATGCTGTCAGTCACAGAAGCCCCATGATGCCCATCATAAAAAGGTATTAGTGCTGCATTTGATTGGTTGAAGGAGTGGTAATTGTCCGCCAATGTGTGGCCTCATAAAAGAAATGGATTGTTCTTTGCATTGAAAATGCAATTCAATATCTGTTTCATTGGTTGTAGGGAGGGTTTTTTTATGCAGAGGGAGATATTTTCCTGAAGGAGAAAATCTTGTTTTCTCTGCCCTGAGTTAAAAAAAAAAAAATCAATTCATCATTGTGAAGATAAGATGCTTGGATTTTGGAAGTTATATTATTTCAATTTAGAATGCATGATTCATGAAATTTCAATACATAAAAATCTTTAAAAATTGACACATTAGAAAAAAATCTTTACACTTCCTATGAAACTAATGAAGTGAAATTCTGCATGAATCAGGTTGGAAAAATGTTGGGTAATTGGATGAAATGACAGATAGTGCAGGGCTGGTTGTTAGTATTAGTGAAACTGACCATTTAATTTTTGTAACATATGTCAGGCTGGACAAAGGCTCATGTCACCAAGGGTCAGATGGTTTGAACAGACCAGGTTAAAGGGCAGGTGGCTCAACATTGATGAAATAAAAATAAAAGTAGATTGAATAGCCCCTGGGTCAACCTTTCCCCATATCTTTTGTTGTAAAAATGACCACTCGTGCACTGGTCAGTTCTGGTCATCCCTTGCAGATTTTTTTTCTTGTTGACCACTGCACAGTGGTGAGCTCAGTGCTTCAGCAGGAGCTTACGAAGAACTAATAAGGAGGGATTTTTTTTTCATAACATACAGTTCAGAGATAGATAATTGCTGGATATATGTCTAAAAATTGTCATGGGAAAATGCATCTTTGATTGAAATCAAGAGTATAAGGATCATATCAGATTAGTCTGGACATTTGGAAAAAAAAGTGTGTCATTTGTACTGACATTCTAGGAAATATACAAACTGACATGTAAGTTACTACATTGGAGTGGCAAATATGTGCAACAGGAACTAAGCACTAGGAGAGGTGGACACTCGCACTTTCATTCCTATAACACATTTTATTATCATCTGGCCAGGCAGCAAGGTCAATCGTTGTCCAAAACAACATTTCTGTTCTTTGATAACTAAGAAAAAAATCCCTGATCTTTGGACCCAAAGATTAGACGATGCATGCTGAAGTGGAACAAGTTCCTGGTTTGTACACAGAATCCAGGTATGTACAGGTGATAAATAGGTGATAACGTGTAGTCATACCTGACTGGAATAAAAAAATATTTACAAAAAAAAAAAAAAGAGTTGAGTAATTGAGGAGGTCTTGGAACATCAATGGGACATACAAAAACATTTGTTTGAAAGAGAATATATTTACTTAAGTACCAAAAAAAGTTAATTTTTGAACAAATTTGAAATGTAAGGACCAACTTAAGATAATGAAGTGTTCTTTAAAACCTTCCAATTAATTCCCTTGCAAGTTGAAGACTTTCCTTGTGAATCTTGATGAATGATTTTTTTTTTCTTATTCTTTGATGGATGGATGTGGGGGGGGGGGGTGTATGTGGGGGGGGGGGGGGATGGGGTGTGGGAGTGAAATTCCAAGACCAACATTTCGATCTCAATTTATCTTTCCAAATAAAATATTTTGGATTCAGTTTAATCTAAACATCCTACTATACTAACAAAATAATCTTGATCTAGAAAGCATGCAGAAAAAATAAATAAATAAATTTTCACTCCCCAGGTATTACAATGTTAATCAAAGACTTTGATTTCTAATTTTAGTACAATGTAAATTTGTGTATCTTTATACAACTTACTTTAATCCATGAAAAACAATTATCCTTATTTTGGGGTGAAATTCATTTTAAAAGTCTATTAAAAAAATATAATAATAATATTTTAGAATGTCCTGTCCTTAAAAAGATCAGTAAAAGACTAAGAAAAAATAGTGCACTAATTTGATTTGAAATTTCTTTTTAATTTTAATTTCATGAAAAAAATTTAAGACTTTGCTTGCTGATCCTTGCAGTCAGATATTAAATAAGAAGAGCAGGATTTCTACCAGGACCTAGGAAGTTATTGTTTATAGAACTTGTAAATGTGCAACCCTAAATCATGCATTAGGGAACAGAGTAACAATTGCTAAGGCAGCAGGTAATGCCAATTTCCTGCACACCCGGACCAAACTTTTTCCCCCTGAAACCACCACTATAAACATCTTGTTTGGTATCAAGTGCCCCTCTACCCTTCTGTATCCTTGTTTCGTGGCTCAAATCGGCTCCAAATTTGACCAAGTTCTGGACACTTGGATTAGTGGTTTTTGTCCTTTATGCCTCGCAGGAAAAAATCACTTGGTGTCAACATTAGAGATGATGTCAATCAGTTGAAGGCCGTAATAGCGACCACTTTGTATGGTTGTACCATCACAATTATAAATATTTTGTTTGTTAAACTCTTGACCTAACATTAAAGAACATTAAACAAGGCATTTCACAACATGTAGATTGTTTGGATCTATAGTAGGATACACTTTATTCCCCTTCATTTTGTTGTGGTCAGTGTGAGTAAGTATGTAATATGCTAAAGGTGCTCTTTTTCTTATCTTGACAAAAGCTTTAAAAACTTTTAATTATATAAACAAGTTTTGAAATATACCTAGGAAGGTTATGGTCCTCAACCAATTTTTGAAATTTCTAAATAAATATTTGAATTTTTTTTTTTTGATTTTTTTTTTATCATGAAGAGTTTTTATAGATTTCTGCAGAAATCAATTTTTAAAAATTAAAAAAGTAAAACAATTGGTAAAAAGAAAAAAAAAATAATTGATACTGACAATCAATCCTTCTGAAATTATTTCTTATAGTGGTGTTTGTTCCTGCAAGACTAGAAAAAGGTACAAGAGGAATTTTATTACAAATAAATTATAAGCTGTCAGTTTTGAGAATAAATTTACAAAAATTAAAAAAGAAGCACATTGATTTGATTGATAACTACTTGAAAGAGCTCATTGCAAACCAATTAGTAATACTGATATGACAATTTGAAGTGCATTAACAAGTTAGTCTCTATCTTTACATGCTGTATGAAATTGCCGTAATTGTTCCGGGGGCTTTTTTCATTGTCATGGACACGTGTTTGGTTTGTTCAGCCTTGAGTGATGTTTTTTGTTCTTTTTACTGCCTGAAATGCAAACAAGTGGAAATCGATTCTAAAACACCGACATATGTTCTTGTTTGACCATGATAAAAAACACTGACCATTAAAATTCCTGCCATGGACACAGGTTTACTTTTCCAAGCATTATGACTAAGCCTTCAAGGTGACTATTAAAGTTATCTTCTAAACAAAAATAATATTCAGATTCAACTGTACTGGAATTCTTAATCATGATAATAATTTCTTTTTTGGAAAAAAAAAAATGCAAACTAAAATAAGGATTGCAAATTTCTCAGGACCACGGATAAAATGACTACAATAATTTGATCAGATCTAAGCTGGCTGACAAGAATGGAAGCACATTTGGTTAATATTAAAATTTCCACAGAAGCAATGGTTATCCAATACACTGGTCAGCAACCCCCAGAAATGCCACAACAGGTCATATTGACCCTAAACCAAACAGAAAATGAAGTAATGATATATTTTTCTTATCTGGTAAAATGATAACGAGAAAATGGCAAATAACAAAACTGAGGCCAGGCCTTGGGGGGTTTTCCAATCCAGATGACCAATGAAAAATGGTGTGTGTGGGATGGTACTACACTGTCATTGATATAGTTATAACACTTTGATGTTTTTAATAGTATGGGTATAGGTTATAGGATCTTTATTTTTTATTGATTCTAACAAAAATAAATGGTTTATATTTACTCAACAAAGATGGAAGTCAGGCAAGGAGACCTCAAGATCTGAGTGCTTTTAAAAAAATAAATCTACCTTATATGATGCAAGTCAATTATATATACATGTATATATTTTTTTTTTTTTCAAAATTTATACATGTACTTCAAAATATGCTTTATTTTATTTTTTTATGAATACAATTAATATACATATATTGCAAATCTAAAAGGAGAGAGAGAAAGAGAGAGAGAAAAAGAGGTCATTTAAATTCTTAGAGAATAAAGATTACTTAATTTTTTTGTCTTATTGAGAAATTGGGAGTTATGAGTAAAAATTTGGCCTGGGATTTCATTTGCCCTTTGACCTGGTCAGTTTGAAGTTTTTATTTCCCAGTGGATCAGGGAATTTCCTTACTTTATTTTGTTGAAAGTGAAAAGTGTTCCCAAGTCACAGTCTGTTATGAGAGTTCATAAGTTGATTGTCAAATGTAGTCTCATGATGGAAAAATATATTTCATTAGGAAGTGGAAAAATGTTCAGTGAATCCAAAATCACCAATGAAGTAGAAGAGCAGACAAGATCATGATAAATCAAAAAGGCAGTCGGACTGGTTACATTAGTTCAAAAGCACAATGGGGACCTGCTAATTCTGTTTTTAGTGTGGAATGGAGAGCTGAGTGTATCATTACATGATCGTTTTATCGCTTAATCAAAGATATTATCATATATGATAGAAAAATTATCCCAAAGTGGATGTTGATTGCATAAGAAATTATGCTTTTGTTTACAGAATACATTTGATATCACATTGAAACAGAAATATAGGAAAGTGAAGAAAGAACCTTACCAAACTAGAAAGTGTGAACTCTTTATTTAATAAGCTTATAAAATAGAGATTTTTCATCGAGACATGGCTATCTAGAATGGAAAAAAGCTTGAATTGATTCATGATAGATGACAACATCCCTTTTGTAAGAGTGACTACTGAAGCCCTGCCCTTCTAATGACCAAAGAGCTCTCTTATAAGTGGTCAGTCTTTCTTCGTTATTGGGATAAAAATGTATCTGAAGGAAAATCTGTCAAAACAGTTATTGATTGACTGTCACACAAACAAATGTGGAGGATAATTTTTTCTGACCTTGCGGTTCAGATGCAGGGCAAGACAATGGTCACTTAGGATGACCAGTTCCTGAAACTGT